AAACCAGCTAGGGCTCAATATGTCTTTTTTATGCCACTACAATACTACCCTGTTTCCCCGAAAATAAGACACTGTCTTATATTAATTTTTTCTTCTAAAGTTGCGCTAGGTCTTATTTTCAGGGGATGTCTTATCTTTCCATGCACTAGGTCTTATTTTCGGAGGATGTCTTATTTTCGGGGAAGCACGGTATTTTGATAACAATCATTTGTAATCAGGAAATGTAATGGCTCCTGATTTGTTCTTTTTTTTATGATTTATTCTTTTTAATAGTACTTTATCTAATTAGGGTTTCTTGTGGTTCCATATGAATTTTAGGATTTTTTTTTTTACATAAATTACCATTAGGACTTTTATAAGAATTGATTAAAATCTGTAGATACCTTTGGATAGTTTAGACATTTTGACATTGTTAATATTTCCAATCCATGAGTATGGAATATCTTTTCTTCTATTTGTGTTTGTTTCTGTATTCTATTTTTGTTTTATTTTTTCAATTTTTTCCTCAGTGTTAATTAGTTTTCTATTTATTAGCCTTTCAGCTCCCTGGTTAACTTTATTTCTAAGTATATTATTCTTTTTGATGCTTATATAAATGGAATTATTTTCTTGATTTCCTTTTCAGACCATTTATTGTAAAAATGCATCAAGCCCTGACTGGTTTGGCTCAGTGGATAGAGTATTGGCCTGCAGACTGAAGGGTCCCAGGTTTGATTTGGTCAAAGTCATGTACCTTGGTTGTGGGCACATCCCCAGTAGGGAGTGTGCATGAGGCAGCTGATCCATGTTTCTTTCTCATTGATGTTTCTGACTCTCTATTCCTCTCCCTTCCTCTCTGTGAAAAATGAATAAAACATATTTTTTAAAATAAATAAAATTTTAAAAAATTAAAAATGCATCAAAATTTTGTATGTTGATTTTGTATCCTGCAACTTGACTGAATTTATTTTAAGTTTTATGAAGTCTTTAGGGTTTTCCACATATAGGATCATATCATACAGATATGATTTTACTTCTTCACTTCTAATTTGGTTGCCTTTTATTTTATTCTTGTCTAATTGCTCTCACTATGACTTTTAGTAATACTATGTTGAATAGAAGTGAGAAGAGTGGGCATCCTTGCCTTGTTTCTAATCTTCGAGGATCAGATTTAAGTTTTTCACTGCTGAGTAAGAGGTTTGCTGCGGCCTTTGCATATATGGCCTTTATTATGTTAAGGTAAATTCCTTCTATTCCTAATTAATTGAGCATTTTTAATCATGGAATTTGTCAATGCTTTTTCTGCATCAATTGATATGATCACGTGATTTTATTCCTCATTCTGTTAATGTGGTGTGTCACAATTATTGATTTTCACGTGTTAAACCATCCTTATGTTCCACAGATAAATAACCCTTGGTCATGGTGTAAAACCCTTTTAATGTGCTTTTGAATCCAGTTTACTAATTTTATGCTGAGTATTTTTGCATCTGTATTGATCAGGGATATTGTCCTGTAGGTTTCTTTTCTTGTAATATCTTTTTCTGCTTTTGGTATCAGAATAATGCTGGCCTCATAAAAATTAGTTTGGAATTGTTCCCTCCTCTTTGATATTTTGGAAGAGTTGGAGAAGGATTGGCATTAATTCTTTAAGTGTTTGATAGAGTTCACCCATGAAGCTATCTAGTTCTGGTGCTTCCTTTGTTGGGAGGTTTTTGATTACTGATTCAATCTCATTACTAGTTATAAATCTGTTCACATTTTCTATTTCTATATAATTTAGTCTTAGTGTAGGTTGTATGTTTCTAGAAACTTACTAGTATTATCTTCCAGTTTAACCAATGTGTTGTCAAAGAATTGTTCATAGTAATCTTTTATAATCCTTTTTATTTATACGGCATTAGTTGTGTCCTCTTTCGTTTCTGATTTTGAGTCTTTTTTATTCTTAGTACTGTTAAAGGTAGTCAATTTTGTTGATTAAAAAATAATAATAATAAAAAAATAACGAACTCTTGTCCTGATCAGTTTGGCTCAGTGGATAGAGCATCAGGCCATGAACCGAAGGGTCCCAAGTTCGATTCAAATCTAAGAGCATGTACGTTGGTTGCAGGCTCAATCCCCAGTAGGGGTGTGCAGGAGACAACTGATCAACGTTTCTCTCTTTCCGTCTCCCTTCCTCTCTGTAAAATCAATAAAATATATTTTTAAATAAATAATTTCTTTAAAAAAAAAAAAAAAAAAAAACTAGCTCTTGCCCGGCCAGTGTTGCTCAGTGCTTGAACGTCAACAAAGGAACCAAAAGGTCACCAGTTTTATTCCTGGTCAGGGCATATGCCTGGGTTGCAGGCTTAATTCCCAGTAGGAAGTGTATAGGAGGCAGCCAATGGATGACATTTCTCATTGTTTATGTCTCTATCCCTCTTCCTTCTTCTCTCTCTAAAAATCAGTAAAACATTTTTAAAAGAATATTCTCTTTTAAAAAAACTAACTTAATTTAGTTGATTTTTTAAAATTGTTCTTGTAATCTATGTTTTATTTATTTCTGCTCTTAAGTTTATTATTTTTTTCTGCTAACTTTGGGCTTAGTTCTTTTTCTTACTTCTTGAGGTATAAAGTTGTTCATTTGAGGCTTTGCTTCTTTTTTAATATAGGCATTTACCACTATAAACTTACCTCTTAGTACTGCTTTTACTACATATCACATTATATATTATGGTTTCATTTTTTAATCTCAAGATCTTTTGTGTGTGTGTGTGTGTGTGTGTGTGTGTGTGTGTGTGTGTGGTGATGATGATGATGGTGATGATGATTTCAGAGAGGAAAGAGAGGGAGAGATAGAAACATCAATGATGAGAAACATTGATTGGTTGCCTCCTGCACACCTCACACTAAGGACAGAACCCACAACCTGGGCATGTGTCCTGCCCGGAATCGAACCATGACCTCCTGGTTCATAGATTAATGCTCAACCACTGAACCATACAGGCTGGGCTTTCTCAAGATATTTTCTAATTTTACTTTTACATTTTTCTTTGACATATTAGTTAATCAAGAGTAATTTATTGAGCCTTTGTTGGTTTGGCTCAGTGGATAGAGCATCAGCCTGTGGACTGTAGGGTCCCAGGTTCAGTTCCAGTCAAGGGCACATGCCCAGGTTGCTGGCTCTATCCCCAGTAGGGGCATACAGGAGGCAGCCAATTAATGATTCTGTCTCCCACTCCCTTCTTCTCTGAGGTCAATGAAAATATATTTTTTATAAAGTAATTTGTTGAATTTGCACATATTTGTGAATTTTCTAGTTTTCCTCCTGCTATTGAAAGCAAGATATTGAAAACTAACAGTATTGTGTTGCTATTTTCTGTCTTCAGTTCTCTCAATGTTTGCTTCATATATTTAAGTGTTCTGAATGTTGGGTGCATATATATTTATAATGGTTATATCTTCCTGATGCATTGACCCTGTTAATGTCCTTTTTTATAATGTCCTTTTTTTGCCTCTTATGACAGTTTTTACTTAAAGTCTATTATTTTTATATATCCCTGCTCTTTTGGTTACCATTTGCATGAATATTTTTTTCTATCCTTCCAATTTTCATCCTATATGTGACCTTAAATCAAAAGTGAGTTTCTTTTAGATAACATACATTGATCTTGTTTTTTATTCATTTGGCCACTTTATGTGTTTGACAAAGGAGTTAAACCCATTTACATGTAATTATTGATATGGAAGGACTCCCTATTTCCATTTATTAGTTGTTTTCTGTCTTGTAACTCTTTTATCTTTTTTTTTTTTTCTTAATGTCTACCTTAGTGATTCATTGATGTTGTTGTTATTTGCTTTTTCCTCATTTTCTTTTGTGTATCTTCTATAGGTATTTTCTTTATGCTTACAGTCCGGGCTTACTTAAACTTTTAACAAGTTTCTTAAAGTTATAACAATCTATTTTAAGTCAATAAGAGTTTAACTTGGATCACGTTAATGAGCTTTTTTAAATTTTCTTGAATAGATAGAATAGTGTCTCCTATTTCTCTGAGGGTATTTGTGATAATTTTTGAAGATTTTTTTTTCTTTGCATGGTCTCTGTTTTCTCCTATTTGCTTTCCTTTTTGTTTGTTTGTTCTTTTCTCTGTCTTTCATGTTAAGTCTTTCCTCAGATGCCTGATGATCCATACTCATATTTATGAGTAGGAGCCAAAAACAGATTAGAAGCTTTGAGTACATGAGTGGTTCTTGTTGACTTTGAGCTTCACTTTAAAGTCATCTGGCTGGTCCATTTGTTAGAGAAATTCCCCATCCCAAATTAGTACTTTTTAGATCTTTCCTCTTGGGGCTAGTCAAATTCTTCAGAGAGGACACTACTGCTTGGAAAGGTACTACCAGCAATATAGGAGCCAAATGGGGGAAACTGTCTGGGGTATCCTCAGTGTTCAATATGAAGTATTTATCTTAATTACCTTGCTTTCAGAAACAGAATTCACACCTTCAACTGTATCTAGCATCCCCCATATTCAGAGAATAAACCTCCAGTATTCACCAGGATTGGGAGTGGCCTTTACCCAGCAACATAATTATAAGGGGGTGAGGGGATATTTTAAAGTCTAGTTGGTTTTTAAACAGCTTTCAACCAAACACCTTATTTTAACCCCACTTTTAATCCATCTCTAGTGATACCTAGAACTACCAATATCTGAACTGTTTGAGAATTCTTAGGTGTAGATGGGGTTGGTTTCTGGCTTTCCCTATTGCTGATTGAAGATTCAGTTTTCTTGAGGATGCTTATCCAAGCTTCCAGCTTCCAGAATATTGTTACTAATGCTTCTTTTCCTTGTTTTTTCTAACCTTGTAGAGCTGTGTTGTGTTTTTTTAATCCTACAGTTTTTGAGATTTTTCTGGAGAGAGTGAAATTAGCTGCATGTGTTCAATCCACCGTCTTTATCTAAAACTAATGAATTCTAACCACAATGAAATAGTTGCCTTATTTCCCTTATGTGATATTTTTGTTGATCTTCAATTTATATTAGGTGTTATACCTGAAGAACCTTAGCCCTCGGGTGACCGAAAGAGATCTTGTATCATTGTTCGCTCGGTTCCAGGAGAAAAAAGGACCTCCAATTCAATTCCGAATGATGACTGGACGAATGAGGGGGCAAGCTTTTATCACCTTTCCCAGTAAGTAGCTTTATCTGGATAATTACTCAGTTGTAGCATCAGCATTAGAGACTTAAGTATACCCTTTCTAATTTGGATACAATCCTTTGATTTACATATAACGCATGAGAAGCATGTGCTTAAATAAGCACATGAGAAGAATAGAAGAGAATTAAGCAAAATGTTTTCAATATTCCTCTGTACTGCCTTCTGTGCTTCTTCTCGGCCATTGACTGTGCATGACCACCTTACTCCGTTGTCTTCAGTTTTCCCCAGTCTTGAAACTTTCTTCTCACTTTATCAAAATTAATTTTACCTTTTTAAAAAAATATTTTTATTGATTTCACAGAGAAAATGAGAGGGAGCGAGAGAGATAGAAACATCAATGAGGACAGAGAATCATTGATTGGCTGCCTCCTGCACGCCCTAACTGGGATTCGAGCCTGCAATCTGGGCATGTGCCCTTGACTGGAATCAAACCTGGGACTCTTCAGTCCATAGTCCAGTGCTCTATCCATTGAGCCAAACCGGCCAGGGCAAAATTAACTTTACCTTTAAAAAATTTATTTTACCCTTGATAACAATAATGTTTGTAGTCTGTTATAATTATACTAGAGGCCCGGTCATGAAATTCATGCACTTGGGGAGGTGGGAGTGTTCCTTAACCCAGCCTGCGCTCTCTCGCAGTCTGAGAGCCCTTGCTTAGTGCTGCCGGGAAGCAGGAAAGGCTCCCACCATTGCCGCTGCGCTCACCAGCTGTGAGCCTGGCTTCTGGCCGAGCAGGGCTCCCCCTGTGGGAGCACACGGACTGCCAGGGGGCAGCTCCTGCATTGAGCGTCTGCTCCCGGGGGGTCAGTGCACATCATAGTAACCTGTCATTCTGATTCTGATAACGTAATGGTTGCTTAGGCTTTTATTATATAGATTACTTTTTGGATTCTGATCAGAACTCTTACACTTGCTTAATGCCCTATTCCTTTAAGATTAAGAAACTATAAAGAAATAAATTCACTGATAATTCATAATTAGAGGAATTGATAATTATGAATTCATAATTCATAGTTTCAGTATCCTAATCTAAAGGGAACAAATAATACAGGAATTTCAGTTTCTCCGACAGACCAGACTATCTTTTTTTTTCCCCTTTGGTGCAAGCTGGTTATTAGCTCTTCCTTTCATTATTTCTGAACTATCATCATTTATAAACAGCCTAGGAATCTCTATACAGGCGAGTAATTTACACTTGAGCAGTTCCAAAGTCTACTAGTCTTGTACCATCTTTGCTATCTTGTAGAAGGTTTGTGGATGTTCCTCAGTAGTGGTTTTTAGACTTTTTAAGTGTGAGGACCCTTTTTAAACTTTATATGCTATATTAATTAAGAAAATATGTAATAAAAAGGCTTTATAAACTAAGTACTTTCAAATGGATAGCTGTTTTACTAATCATAATAGCAGCTATCCATATTTTAAAATTTGTAGCATATACATAAATTGGTTCAGTCTAAAGATATTGTTTGTCTACTTTTGATTTCACAGACTCTGTTCAATAATTGCACTCCTTCCTGATTTCCCACTTCAAGGGTCTGAAACACATACTACTGTACACTATGTACTGTTACTCTGCAAATCTCCATATACTTACAAGGTTTATTATACTTATTTATATCCATAAGGGCTCTCACAGTCACTCTCCCATCGAAAGATAAAAGTAGCAAAATGACCTTGATACCATGATAACCTCTTTTATTTGTGTTGCCCATTTTGAAAATGACTTAATTCTCACAATACCTATAATCTATTATCTAAGATAGAGGCTTGTGTATTAATAGTTATAGTTTAGCCTTCTTTTGCACACTAACTATATTTTTCTTCTTTAAATTATGAGGCACTCTCATCTAGCCACTTTAAGTTTTTCTAGTCATTATTTTTAGCCATTAATGTAATATTGCTGAATTATAAAAATATGAAATTATGGAAAAGATAATAAAATCAAATAGCTATATGGCCTAGTAGCCTATATTTAACTCCAAGGCAAACAAACAAACAAAAAAATAAACTGGAAATAGAATTGTATTATGAAACCCTGTGTAAATTGATTTTTTTTTCTTTCTTTTAGATAAGGAGATAGCATGGCAAGCATTTCATCTAATAAATGGATATAAACTACATGGAAAAATTTTGGTGATAGAATTCGGAAAGAACAAAAAACAACATTCTGATCTCCATGCTGCTTCTCTCAGATCATCTGCTACAGAAAACACTACAAAAACCAGTGGCAGCTAGAAGATATATAGATTGTGAGTCCCAGGAAGTCTTTCTCGCATCAGAATCTTGGATCTAGGATTTCTATATAGATAGCAGTGTGTTTGGAATTGAAGAGAAACTGAGGAAGAAAAATCTAATTAAGATAATCCTTTTAGCTTTTGGAAAGAATTGGTAGAAAATATTTTCTATAATCAAAGACTATACATGACAAATAAGATACCAAGTATGAAGGGTAGGGTACAAAGAGTATCATTTTCTCAGGATAAATTACAAAAGATTATTTCCAAGCATATTTTAAATCTTTATACTTTATCTGTAGTCTTAAATACTTACCCCTAGAGATAGCATTATTTCCAAGACTGCCATTTATATACAGAACTAAAAAACTAAAGGTTGAAATATTTATTTATTAGAGCCCATTTGTCCCTAATTGTATTCACATAGTAAATGAATGACTAGGCCCTAAACCTAAACATCAACAAATGCTGTTAAATTAGAAATATCAGCAATAACAGTAGGATCTGATACACATGTCAATACACATATTTAATGAATTCTTTCTATTAAGTTGTCAGTGTCTTAAAAAACCCATATATTTTTCTAATGAAAGCATCTAGATCTCTATAGTGATGTTTCCCTGGTCATTAAATTAGCTACAATTGAGTAATCATTGAATCTCAAGCAATAAACATCGAATAAGAATCTAATATATGTTAGGTATTAGGTATATGCATTCTAGAAGAGGAACATACTAGAAAAAATACTAAAGGGGATATGGGATAAAAGAGTTACCTAGAAGAGAGGAGGCCACTCCCAAATTCCCCACTTATTTGTTGGAGAAATGAAAGACAGTATGGTATAGAGGAAATGGTATAAACTTTAACTCACACCTGTGAACTTCATAGCCACACTTACCACTCCATGACCTTGACAAGTCACTTAGTCTGAGCCTCAGTTTTCTCATCTATAAAATGAAAATAATAATACTACTTACCTCATTGGGTTGTAAGAATTAAATGAGATGGTATTATCCATGCTGAAGAGCAGGGAAAAAAAAGAACAGAGTATACAATCATTAAGTACTCCAACACACTTGCAATGGGAGTACCAGAAAAAAAGAAGAGAAAGAAACAGAAAAAGTATTCTAATAAATAATGGCTGTAAACACCCCAAATCAATGAGAAGCATTATCTTCACATCCAAGAATCTCAGTGAACTCCAAATAGGGTAACAAGAAGAAATCTACAGACACATTATAATAAGAATGCTAAAACACAAAGATAGTCTTGGAAGTAACATGAGAAAAATTAGACTCAATGGATTGCCAATAAGATTAACAGCTGACTTCTCATCAGAAACAATGGAGGTAGCAATGGGATAACATATTCAAAGTGCTCAAAGGAAAAAAAAAATGTCAATATAGAATCCTACATCCAGTAAAATGATTTTTCAAAAACGATGAAACAAAGATATTCCCATGTAATCAAAAATGAAGAATTTGTTGTTGGCACACCTGATTTATAGGAAATAGTAAAGAAAGTTCTTCAGGTAGATCACTCAGACAGTAATTTGAATCTAAACATACCTATGAAACAATAACATGGGTAAATTTAATTATCCTATATAATAAAAGGCTAATATGCAAATAGACCAAACAGTGGAACGACCAGTTGCTATGATGCACACTGACCACTAGGGGGCAGACACTCAATGCAGGAACTACCCCCTGGTGGTCAGTGCGCTTCCACAGGGGGAGCACCGCACAGCCAGAAGCTGGGCTAATGGCTGGCGAGTGCAATAGTGGTGGTGGGAGCCTCTGCCAGCTTAAGCCCAGGAATAAGCCTAAGCCATCAGTCTGACATCCCCTGAGGACTTCTGAACTGTGAGAGGGTGCAGGCCCAGCTGAGGGACCCCTCCGGAATGCATGAATTTTGTGCACCAGGCCTCTACTATAATTGTAAAAAGCCAGTTTAAGTTAATTTTCCTTTTAATTGAAGTTTTATAGACCAGTATGTATGTAGTTGCATTTTGGGGCCTATAACATATGAAACTGTACTGTATTTTCCAATTACAGAACAAAGGAAGTGGGTGGAAGCAAAACTATTGAACTAAAGAAGTGACTCCAAATGGTAACTCAAATCCACGGGAACAAATGAAGAAAACAAAAAAAAAAAAAAAAAAAAAAAAAGGGAAATAAGACTAATATAAAAAGCTATAAATATATACTACCCTGTTTCCCAGAAAATAAGACAGTGTCATATTAATTTTTTCTCCCAAAGTTGCGCTAGGTCTTATTTTCAGGGGATGTCTTATCTTTCCATGTGCTTGGTCTTATTTTCGGAGGATGTTTTATTTTCGGGGAAACACGGTAGTTCTGCTTTCTTCTCTCTCTGCTTTAAAAGACATAAAATTATGTTAAGTAATATGACAATGTATTATGTTTATAACATGTAGAAATAATTATATATATATATATATGTATACATATATATCAATAATACCATAAAGAAGTAGGGAATAGAGTAGGTTTATATAGGAATAAGTTTTTTATATCTCATTGGAATTAGGACATATCTGAAGACAATTTAGTTAGAATATGCATGGTAATTCTTAGAGCAACCAAGGTAATAACTGAAAATACATAGTGAAAATATTTAAAATTTCAATGTTACATTAGAAAAATTTTAATGTAAAGTAATGCAAAAGGAGAAATGGAGAAACAAAAATACAAGACATTTAGAAAACAGTAAAATTGCAATCCTAAATATACCTATATGAATGATAATTATTATGAATGGATTAAAAAATTCAATCAAAAGGCATAGATTGTCAGCCTGGGGGTGGGGTAACTAGATTTACCTCTATGCAATTTATCAGAGTCATACAGATTCAGAGATACAAACAAATTAAAGGTAAAAAGATACAAAGAAATATTAGGCAAATGGCAACCATAAGAAAGCTGGAGTGACCATACTAATATCAGACAAAATGCACTTTAAAATGATGACTGTTACTAGAGATAATGAGTGACATCTTATAATGATAAAAGAATCAATACATCAGAAAGATATAAAAATTATAAATATGTATGCACTAAACAACAGAGCTCCAAAATACATAAATCAAAAACTGAAATAAAGGGAGAAATACATAAATCTGAAATAAGAGTTGGGGGGTTTGCTACCCCATTTTCAATAATAGAATAACTATATAGAAGATAAACAAAAAAATTGGAAAACTTGAGAAATGCAATCATGTGTATTTTTTTTTTAAATATATTTTATTGATTTTTTACAGAGAGGAATAGAGAGTTAGAAACATCGATCAGCTGCCTCTTCACACCCCCCACTGGGGATGTGCCCGCAACCAAGATACATGCCCTTGACCGGAATCGAACCTGGGACCTTTCAGTCCACAGACCGACGCTCTACCACTGAGCCAAACCGGTTTCGGCTCGTGTGGAGATCTGTAGAATACTTTATCCACAAGAGCAAAATGCATATTCTTCTCTAGTGTACATGAAACATCTACAGGATTTACCATAAAACAAACCTCAAATATCGATATAAGTGGACTGAAGTCATACAAAGTAATTCTCTGACCACATAAAAATGAAACTAGAAATCAATAACAGAAAAAAAAACAAACTAAAAATTATGAATTAAATACACTTTAACATGACTATTGGGTTAAACAACAAATCACAAAACAAATTAGGAAATCTTTTGAGGTGAATGAAAATGAATACAAAACATACCAAGACTTTTGGGATGCACTTAAAGCAATACTTTAAAAATTTTAAGTACAAATGCTTATGTTTTTAAAAAATCACATATTACCTCACTTTATACCTTAAGACACTGGAAAAGAGGAGCAAACTAAGAGTAAGCAGGAGAAAGAAAAAAATGTTTAAATAAATAGAGAATAGAAAAGACAGTAAAGTCAATGAAACCAAAATTGGTTTTATAAAATGCTTAAGTGACAAATCTTTTGGTAGATCGACCAGAAAATAAAAAATAAAAAAAAAATGAAAGCCCAAATTACTAGACTCAGGGATTAAGGACGGACATTAATACCCACCTTATAGAAATATAAACCATTATGAAGGAACACTGAATAATCATTTGCCAATAAATATAATACCCATACTACTGAAGCCAATGAAAAAAAATCTGAAAAGACCTGTACCAAGTAAAGATGTTAATTAGTAATGTTTTTAAATACAAAGGAAAGGCCAAGCTCAAATTGCTTCTCAAATGAATTCTAGTGAATATTAAAGAAGAATTAATATAGATTCTTCACAAACTCTTCCAAAAAATAAAGGAGGGAACACTTCTGATTAGTACTACAACATGAAAAAACGTGAAAACATGCTGAATGAATTAACAGTTACAAAGACTACATATTATATGATTTCATTTAGTGGTATATGAAGTGTCCAGAATTGGCAAATATAAAGACAGAAAATGGACTAGTGATTGCTTAGGATTGGGAGTGATAACTGAAGTGTAAGCTTTCCAGTGTTTCCCAAACTTTTGACATATGTGTACCCCTTCTATAATTTTCATAACGCCGAGTACCCCTCATACTCATGAGAATGTAGAATTAGGCGCAGCTAAGCACGGTGCAGTGCATATCCCCACCAAACTCCAGTGCAACACGTACCCCCACCAAACTCTTCCTGTACCCCTGGGGGTATGCATACCACACTTTGGGAAACACTGCTGCTTAGACGATGAAAATGTTCTCAAATTGATTGTAGTGACAATTGTACAATACTGAATATACTACAGACCATGATTGTAAACTTTAAATGGTTAAATTTTGTGATATGTGAATTATATCTCAGTCACACGAAAAATAAATTGAATGCAATCCAAATGTCTACCAGTAAGAGAATGGATGAATAAATTATGGAATATCCATTTAGTGGAATGCTATATAGCCATCAAAATAATGGGGCATTTCTATGAATACATTCTGAATTGTATAGTGTCCATGGTTTTATATCAGGTTAA